CACAAATGCAGCTCACCATACCGGTTAATGAGTCCTACCCTCAGCGCAAAGCTGAAGACCAGAGTAGAATATCTCATGACTATATGTGCCCGTCTATTTTTGAGGGTACAAAGGGAAACCAAGCATGTTCGGGGGTCCCCTAAACAAAGGCACACCCATGTCGCACTGTCTGGCTGGATGGGCAGGGAACATCGGAATAGCCCAAAACCCAAAACCGAACTGCTCCCGAGATTTCCCTAAAGGGGATCCCCAACGGTTCATTCCCCAAACCCCTCGAAGGATACCTTACTGAGAACATTTAGGTTGCTCCCACTCCTCGGCCCGACCGCAGGGCCAGGGTACACCAAACAGTACAAATTCAGATTCAGCTTAATCATGTTGGAGCAACCCCCTGGTATCCCTTGGAACAGAAGGCTATAGATCCTTTAACCCATTGGGGCTGCTGTTGCAGAGGCACCTAGGGGCGCGGTGGTTCTTTGCAGACAAGCTTTGGTTGTCCAAACACCTTTTCCGCAGAGCCGCGTGTATAACATGCGCCACAGTCTCTCTATCACTCTTGGAAGAGCCTAATATGGAAGATCACCCCATCATTTGATTAAAATATTGCTTTTAAGGGTAGACTGGCAATCTGGGCAAATTGCTCCAAGCAAGTTCGTCATGGGTTTGAGCTCCTGTTCCAGCCCCGCAAGGTGGGAGCTATTTCCCGCAAATAACCCCACCTACATGTGTGCGTGTGTGTCTGTGTGTGTTTGCTTTTTGCGGTGTGTGTTTGCTTTTGGAGGGTACCCGTTTGGGGGTGGTTTAGAGGAAACCCAAGAGGAACAACACTACGGCACAAACACACGCACACACAGATACGCATAATATCTTAGCATCCAAACAGGGCTGTGATGTCCCCTCTTGACGAGTCAATCCTTTCAGCGGAGTTTCATTCGATACTCCTCATAAATGAGATGACTTGTTGAATTCATCTCAGAAATGGGACCTGCTTCATGAACATCCCCGGCTTTTTCGCGTGTGTGGCTTGCCTCCTGAATTTCCCGGAGCTTGCTTTTTTTTCAGCTTCCCAGTCTAGATCAAGAGCTCTCCCAATACGACAGCATGCTTTCTGGTGAAGTGAACGCTTCAGGAATCGAGTTCGACTGGGTTCCCAATCGTATCCATGACAGCCTGCAACTGGGGACCTTCAAAAGGAGTCCTGTGGCTAAGATGGCTCCACCTCCAAACCACCAAGGCAAACCGATGCATGCAAGTTCCAGAGCTACATAGAGTCGCCATATGCCCATTAAACCCCTTGGGGGTAGTGGTTTCGTGGTTTGGGGGTAGTGCAAACAATCTTGATTCTGGCAAGAGGACGGCAAGTCCCCCAACCGTCACACACCTGGTTTTGATTGTGATGTTCCCTCTTCTCTAGCTCTTTCAGGGCTCCCTAGCCCCGAACAAAATGACTTGTTTCCCCAAACAAATAAGGGCACTTGGGTATTTAGATGGGCCACCCCGTGCCCTCCTCAAACTCGGCAATCAACTACAAGTAATAAATAACACAGTGCCGATTTCTCGATGTGTCCCTTTAAGCAATAGCTGCCCAAGCCAGATTTGCACCCACTACTCGCCAACCTCAACATTTCGGAAGCCTGGGAACTTTGACGGGCAATCTCGTTTTACCCCCGATGTTGTTTTTGCCCGCAACAAAAAATGAGTTAAACCACCGGACAATTATGTGAGGTGTGTCTTGTTTTAGGATAGCCCTTTCTGGTGGTTTAAAAGGACAACCAAAGGAAAGGCACCTTCTCTTTTCTTTCTTTCGGGGAGGTCCCATACAACATTGACGAACCCATATCCCAGATCAACCAAGCTGACTACTTCAAGGCGTATTTGCACGAGTGAAGGATCCCCCCTCTGGGACAACCCCCAGGAGTACTCAACGTTTTCTGTGGCTTTTCATCAGACGCCCTATTCTCTCTAGCTCAAAAGGGACCTTTCAGGGATATGTGTTTTCTTTTTGTTTGGGGGGTGGCGGGGTGGGTGGGTGGGTGGACTAAGCTATCCCTTAAGTCTATGCCTCTCACAAGGCCTTGTCTTGAGGAAAAGCCTCCCAGGCCTGGTTTTAGTACCAAACATAGCCCCTCTCCATAGCCCTCCTTGGTCCACAGAAAACTTCAGCCGGACCGACGCATCCCGCGGCATGCCGTCCGGGCGAACTGCCCGCTTGCACTGCCCATGGGGTCGAGGCGAAAGAAACTCCGAAGATTCGCCAAACGACTCACGTGGCTGGGTTCAACGAAGTGCAATGCTTGTTTCAAGAAACCTGCTGGATTCAGCCGTGTAATATCCAATTAGTTTGATGAATGTAGACTATGTGTACACACATCATGCCTTAGGTTGCTTCGGCTCATGGAACAGCTCAGCTCGATGCATGTCCGTATGAGCTCATGTGAAGCATTGCCCGCATACGAGCTAGACATGGCAGCGCCATCCAAACATCAAACATTAAACATGAGCAAACCAACTGGGGTGGGTCCATTGAAGCAGTTCATCTTTCAAATTCCCTCCGAATGGTGGCTTGCAGGGTAACCATCGCAGTTGAAAAATAAGTTTGAGACAATCCAATGGTCACTGGAAAAGACCCAGGCCAGGGTGGAATTCCGGAACGTGGACAACGACAAGGACCCAAATCCTTGCGTACCTTTGGAAAGGCTTCTGGACTTCCATCCTGCGAGCAAACACTTTTTGCTGATGACTTGCCCAGACAAACCCGCCCCCCCCCCCCCCCCAAAGAGGGCAAAAGGGCCAAAGAAAGGTTGTGTAGTCTGGCAATGGCGAATGGGAAAACCATCGTTCTGGCGAAGGCCTGCAGGTATCCTCTCAAATCTTTGAAGGGCAACCTATCCACCCTCCTACTCAGGCAAAGTGTTGCATTCAGAAAGTCTACTAGTCCAACTAGAATGTTTCACAATATCACGCATACTTGTCACAACGCATCTTTGTAGTGAAAGACAGCTGTGCACCAATTCCCCAATCGACAGCAAGGTTTGGTCAGCTTTCGGAGACCCAAAGCAACCCTGTGGGAAGCTGCCTCGAAACGGGAGGGAACCCCAAATGAGTAATCTATAGTGGAACACCACCTTGGGGGAAACCACCAAAAGATTTTAACCCAGATAGTTCCATTCGACGAACCGTCAACCTGCCTTTGCCAACATGATACGTGTTCATGAGGGTGAAACTCAATACCCGCACCCCATGGGTTCAACCCACATTGAAGAATGGTTGAGCCAATGTAGATGGTGACAATCCATTAGGCAAGCACTTTCGGTTTGTTAACCCACTCCTATTCCTGTTACGCAGGTCGAGTGCTCAACACTCAGTTTTGCACCTGTGCGAGACTCAACTCCGTGCGTTCCGGGCGTCAGCGAGCCGAGTGGATCGTCGGAAAACGCCAGGCTGGTTTGGCGGATGTTCACTACGTCCCAAGCAAGTCCCATGCCAAGGTAATTCCTAGGTTTCCCACTTAGTCAAAAATGGAAACTCTGCTAAGCCCAAGCTTCATAAGAATGCTGATGAACCTTCCAACCCAATGAGGAGGCCCCCAAAAGTATGGAAAAGGATGAGTTGTGACTCTTCAAGTCAACTTGCGGAAAAGCAGTCCCAAACAAATCGGATAAAGGAATCTGCAGGCTTCGTCTGCTTCCCACTTAAACGTTGCAGGAGGAAACTCTTCCTCATCAGAATTCATGGCCAATTGGCTTGAAGGCGAAATATTTCAGCTGGACCCTGGACATCTCACAACAAACCCGGAGAGCTGTTTCAGCCCGACGGAGCCTCCCATCCGTGTGAGATGTAGCTACCAGGGCTCCCTGGATCTCTGCGTAAACCATTCACCAAATGGGTGGCTCGGGGACCACCAAAATGGCTTCGGTTTTCCTTTGGGGTGTCCTTTACCACAAAAACAAAATTCTCAAACAAGACACACCCAAATGGCCTGTCCAAATCGAGCGGTCGAAAGGAACTCTTCCGTGCTCATGCGAGCTTACAGTAAATTACACAACCACTTAGCTTGTGAAATCAACACCACTGTGTCTAACAACACACTTACAAGGCCTCACGGCGCCCCTGGTTTCCTTGCGGGAAAGACTACAATGTTTGCAGATGTTAGGACTAAATTCCATTTGGGAGTTTCCATGAATTGTCTGGGGTAAAACCAACTGTTAAAACTTGCTAAGGCGCATGTAGGAATCCCATGACCAACTAGACGCCATTCCCTAGGTTGGGCGGACGTCCCAAAATGGCAAATCTTTGTTGGGACGGTTAAAAGGAAACTGACCCACGGTTTTTGGGGCGTGCGTGCGGGCCCCAAAGACGAGATCTTGTAACCATTGTATACCCCACTCACCATGGTTCTAAGCTGCCTAAGTGGATTACAGCCATAAGCATTTAGCTGAAAGTCCGGTTTGCAATTTGTTGTTCTCAGTTGAATCCACGGCCACGAGGTAGAGGTCATTGCGGCGCTCACTTCTTCAGGAAGCTCTCGTAATAGTCGATCATATCCGGCGACTGGCGAGAATGTCGACCCATACAGTACCCAGAGCATCATTTGGGTAGGCGACAAAAGTATCGCCCCCAATTCCCGCAAATTTGGAGCCATCGGCATTCACAAGGATTTGGTTGGACTCCCCCACGTAAGGAACAGAACGTGCATGGGAGAGCTTGTTTGCCAAGAAATTGTTACTTGACCAGATTGGTGAAAGAGAGACATCCAACCAAATTCCCTGCTTGAGTGTTCAAGCCAAGTACTTTCAGCGGACTTCTCACATGGCTCGCGGTAAAATGAGCAACTATTGCGGGAAGCATCCAAACACCTTGAAGGGGGATTCCCAAGTCAAGGAGCTACAAGATCAACTAGGGAGGTAAAATGAGCTCCAGTTGGATTGTGTAGCCAGTAGCCTTTGAGGACCCGGCGTCTCCCGTTTGTCCCTTGATCATGGAGTCAGCTACCGGATTTAAGGTGGTCATCCGAGGGGTTTGGTCAACGTCCACTAAAAATAGGAGCCAAATGCGCTCTAGTGTCACCATTTTAGAAAAGATAAAAGAACCCTGATGGTGGGTCTCCTCGCGATTTTGCTTTGAAACCATTCTGTGTACCGTTCGCCTCAACAAAACTGCACATCTGTGTTGTGCAATCTGCTGAGTCCCTGAGCAGCACCACTGGAACCCAAAGCAAGCCACCCCTCCCCGGATTTCCTCCAAGCCACAACTTGAGGGTCTTATTTTGGTAGGGTTTGGGGGTGAAGAGAACTTGGTGCTAAATGGGCATTATTTGTACTTGGGGATCCTTTGGTGGACATCAAATAGGTGGGGATTTCTATCCACTCACCATTTGGAAGGATGTTCCCATTTGAATTCATAGCCACATATAGCCAAATAAGGAGTTGGGAAACAACACTAGTCTTCCCCTGTGGTTTCCTGCGGAATTCAACAAGTTTAGCACCCGGCATGCTCACTTCCGGAGTAGCCAGGCCTAAACAAGTAAGCAGTTGATTGTCTCCCACTAAAATGGTCCCGCCCCCAAAAGTGTAAAGTCCAGCAGTGACACAAGCCCGATCCCCAAACAAAAGCGGATAAACACACACCCCAAACAGGAAAACACAACCAAGGGTCACCTTGTCGGAACTGCTCAAACAACCCCTCCCCCCCCCCCCCGGGTCCCCTTTGAAGGGAACGAAAAGGAGGTAGTTCAAAACAAAAGGAACTCCACAACAACCAAAACGAATTCAAAAGAGCCGCTCTGCGCCTCCTTCAACGCGTGCCGGTTCTCACCCTTGCGGGCAGGGGGTCGGCTCTTCCGAGCGCTTTTGAGGCCGACAGGCCGAACCCAAAGCCCCGAAGAAGGGGCGGTTCACTTCGAAAGGAGTGGGTTGGCCTCAGAAAAGTTATTCAACTTGTTGTCTCCCCAACTCAGGAAGCAAGTCAAGTCTTTACAAAAGCGCTTTCAGTTGCCACAAAAGTCGGTACCAAGGATGCCCTACACAGAATCGTCGAAGTCACCGCCACTTGTGTGTGGCGAGGTTACCCCCCATGGAACGCAGTCCATCCACGAAGCCAAAAAGTCACTGCCAAAATTTCCCGCATGTAACGCACAATGATTTCAATGAAAATACGTTGCCAAGAATCCGCCAAGTTGCAAAACACACTGGAACGCAAGTCACTGCCACAGAAAAATATATAGTTTTTCAGCCCCGGAAAGCAAGCAAACCCCATGGAACGCAGTATGCAACAACTCACCCTAAACTTGGCGCCAGATTGCCGCAAAAGTGCGAAAGATGCATGGAACGCAAGTCTCAAGTAAAGTTAAAAAAATGTCTGCCAAGCTGGAAAGGAACCAACTAACTCGCATGGAATGGAACCCCTCGTGGTCCTTACCTCCGTGGAATGCAATGTGTTGGAAAGGGGCCAACCCGCATGGAACGGGGCCAGCCCGCATGGAACTCATCATGCGCCAATAAGCACAAACCAATAGAAGTGTTTGAAGAAGCCCACCCGCATGGGACTCATCATGCTGTGCGTACCCTTGCCACTTTGCTACCTTGCCTGAAACGCGACATCCCTGCGCGGAGCACTGTTTCACTTGGCCTTTGCCACCTTGGCAATCTTCAGCCCTTGGTTGGCTTTGGTTGCTAGGTACCAAGCATTGCGCCCCTTTGAGGTGCTGAGCAGACCTTGCTTGATCACCTTGCTCTGAAAAAGCTTGTACAACGGCCACGCTTTGCTGACCTGTGGCCGAAGCTGATTCCGAACATAAAAATCTGACAACGGTGCTACTTTCGCTTGCCACACCCACACAATTGATGACTTTTCGCTTGCCCAACTGCGCTGGAAATAAGTGAACTTCTTTTTGTTCCGGGGAACCAACAAAAACAACTAACGTTTAAAAGGTTGGCTTACGTCGGGCAGCTACACTGTGCTTTCTAACTACCACCAACCAAAACGAAGTAACCCAGTTGAAGAACACTTCCGACCAGAAACACACATGCACTCTAAAGCTGGAATCATACACCAACCATGACCATGTCCTTTGCAGCCTAGGTGGTTGTTCCAAAACAAATCAGGGCATGTTACTATGTTGTATACTGCAAACTAGCACATACTAGCGATTGGCAACTCACCAACTCAAGTCACCAGCTGATTGGCCAAACAAAGTCTACACTCTGACTCTTTGTTAACCCCCTTAGAATGGTCCTTTCAACAATTGTAACGTCCAGCAACTCGGGAGGTGAGGCAAACTAATCTAAGTGAAGCTCTGCAAAGCAGGGCGTCCGCATGCGCCCGCTGCTCCAAGCTACAAGGCTCGCTCGGTCTGATAACTCTGGGGCCGGCGCTCGATACTTTTCGAGATATCGATGAGCTTCCTCCGGAGTGTACCTCCCATGCAACGAATCTGTAACTTCGAATTGTTTTTTTTTTCCCAGCAGGACCATTCTGATCAGGCCTTTTCGCTGGTTGTTCAAAGTGGTGGAGGCAACAATCCTTTTTGATTGTGGCTGACTTCACTCATCTGGTGTAGCAACCAAATAAAGAATATCCCTGTCCTTTTCCATGCTTTTCGCAATGATCATTCACGACACTACGAAGATTAGAAGCTGCAACTGGGTCAAGCCACTCTGAGCCACTGTATGAAGCAAGTTCACTGTGCGAAAGTGAGGCCACAATCGAACCAGAAGTATGTTGCTGTAGTTAGAGAGTGGGCCCAGGCTGCCCTTCATGTCATTCATCTGCTCACAGCAAAACACGCAAGTATTGTCAATTATTTCTGACACATATACCATGCCCAGCTTCTCAGGCTCGTTGTGACGACCGGAGGCAACAGCCCCCAAAGCTGAGACTTCACATCGGCTTTGAGCACAGATGTCATCTGTGGCTACGAAAGCCATCGGAAGCGTGCGGTGAAGGTGCTTTCCAATCCACAGCAAATCACCCACTTGCAGGCCACTGCATTGCGGCTGACATTCCTCGAACCGTCTTTCTGCTGACTCTCGGTGGAACTCATGCGCCTTTGCAACCTTCTCCAGCCAACGGAGCTCACTTTAAAATGTGGCTTCCTTCCAAGCCGTGGAAATTGCGGCCTGCAGCTCTTGTCTGTATGTTTCGGTGCGAGTATTCAAACACAGGTAAGATTGACACAAGTTTCTCCAGCCAAAGAAATGAACAAAGGGCCAAGCTGAGGAAAATCCCAAGGCGCACGGGAACTCCGAGCCAGAGAGGCCCTCGTCCCGGAACTTCTTGCAGTAGTGATCCCAGTCCTCCCACGCGAGCCGAAGGCCAGACAAAGTCCGGACTTCTTGTTGATCCGAAAAGGACTGACGTTCGGAGAATGGGGAACGTTGTTTACTCCGAACTTGTTCTTCCAAAGAAGAAAGGTTGAAGTCTAGAAAACGGCGAAGTGAGAATGGGAAACATGTCAATCAAATAGACATGGATTGAGGAATTGGATTTCGAACTCATCGATCCTCGAAATGACGTCGATCCGGATCAACGTTCTTCGGGTGATCTGGGAAATCCAAGACAAGTTCAGAAAAACACGTCGTGCGTCCCAGGGTTAAACAACACATTGTCACGGAGGAACCTCTCGCCCCAAAGGTGTCACTCATAAAGTACAAAAACTAGAGCGAGAGGGCAACAGGTACACCAATTCAAAACAGACACACACTCACACACAAAATTTCCTACCAGAGGGGAAGACTAAACTCACCTGGCGGAATTGTGCTATCTTCTTGCACCCCCAAAGTGTAGAAGGGTCGACTTTCGACGAACGTTTACCGGATGGAATACCATTCCCAGTGTGTTGTTGGGTATCAAACCTGGCACAACTTGAGATTTAGCTGATAGATCCTCCGCTTGAGCAAATATGAAGCTGGTGGGAAGTCCGTCCATCCGCGGTAGGACCATCGCAAGTTGTTTCCTCATCCTGTCTTACCGGCATGATATTTTGTCCATGTACTTTCACCCTTTTGTGCAGCAGAAACACTGTTGGCTGGTCATTGAAAAAAGCTCCCCCTATTTTCTCTTCCAAAATCAAAGTGGAACCTCACTCAAAATGGCCCCAAGTGCTAATGTCTTAGCCAGGCAAAACAGGGAAGTCATATCGACCCATATTTATAAGCTTGGTGGATTGCATGCGATGTTTCCCAAAAAAGTGATCCGCATGCCCTTGTGAACGGCACCCCCCGCCCAAATCAAACTCAGTCAGGGATTTATTAGTTCCATGGTTCCCAAGAAGAACTAGGGGTATCTGTCAAAGTGTGACCCTGACATGGTGGCTTTCCTGTTTTCCCTTTCAAACCAACCTGAAAACAGGTACCCTCAAAAGACACACACTGAAAGCCCATAGGAACCCCAGTTGAGCAGAGACTGACAGAATACCAACCGAGCAATCCTCGCCGGGCATGACAAACACCCCAAAAACCGAAAGAAATGGTAGTCCCACAAAAATAACGCAGGTCCGGTCTGGGCTGGGAGTTGGGTCAGTGCCCCAAGCAACCGACCCCACAAAGCTATGTCCCACCTGTTGGATGTCTCCGAATAGGACATGGCCCAGCCCCTTCGCACGAGCTGGAAAGTTGTGGTCCTCCTTGCAGTACTGGACGAACCTCAGAACGGGGTTGCCAGATCTTCACCGGGCTTGCCTCACTTCTCGGATTGGGCAACAGAGTCTGAAGTTGCTGTCCCAAAGCGTGCTTTAAAGTCCCAGGAATTAAGCCAGGCAGATAGTTCCGAACTAAACAACCACGCCCTAGTCCCCTGTAAAGGGAACAGAAGGAGGTTGGTAAACAAACAAGCTGAGTCTAAACATGGTACAAAAAGTCGGGAAATCTACCCCCCAGCTGGCGGAGGGCAACCCTCCCAAAACGGAACAACGCTTCTCTTGGAACCCACACGGGCACTCATTCTCGGCATCTGGGCTTAGTTGTCTGACTCCTTTGGGGGCTTGCGGGGGAGGGGGGGGTATCCCAGTCTGGGAAACCATTCCTTTGACCTTTTCTTAACATTTGCGCCGAAACCAATTCAGATGCTGGGCTTTTGGGAGGCGTGAGTTTGCCCCTTGAAACATTCAAAAGGCCGCAGTGCAAAAGCAGTTCGTTTCCTGTAAACTGCGAGCATGCAACATTCACTCCAGTCAAGAGCCCCAAGATACAGGATACATGGACTTTTCGCTTGGTTCCGGCCACTACGTACAGCAACAAGTGCAGCGACCGACTTTTGGAACCAGAATGGCTAAGGCTGATATTGGACATTGCAAAGTTCTCAAAAACCCAAGTAGTTAAACCCCTCTACTGAAATTCGGGGGTTTGGACACCGCATGGTTTCTGGACAAAGATGAAGCCCCCTATGCCTTATTGGACTCCTCTCAAAATGGAGACCTCTCCTTTGCTCAAGTCCCCTGGAGGAAAATAACCATTCCCAGTGACAGACTCAAATTGAAACCAGGGGGAAATAACTAATCTTCTTACCCAAACGCTCCCGATATATCTTGAACCCTCACACAGCCAGGTTTTGAGACTCCCGAACCCCGCTGGGGGTCCGACGGAGTCTTCCATTGAAAGCCCCAGGAGCGATTGTAGTTCAACATTGGGGAACCTCACGGATCGGTCTGGGGCTCCGCACTTATCGATGGGGTGCAGCGTCCACATGCGCGACACCTTGAGCCTGCTATGGATGGGACCTCAGTGCAAAGCCGTGCCCAAAAACCAATGTCCAGTGCGAAAGGGTTTGAAACAGAGTTTCGGGAGAGAATAAACAGGCCCAATCCCACCAACAAGAGGCTGGCCAAACACGAACCAAAACAGGGTGCCAGTTGTAACAAGGTAAGAAACCCAGCAAGGGCAGAAGCAACCGAAAGCAAGCACAAAGCAGCAAACCAAGCAGGCAAACAATGCAGCGAAGCAAGCAAAGCAAACCAGTGCGCACCAACCCCAACCAATACCCCCGACCAACCTCCGCCAAGGACACCACCACAGGCGCACGGCAACAGCACAACGTGCTGATGAAGTGCACCACGTGCCGCGATGTTTTGGCGCCGAAATTGCGGGTGCGAGTCGACGGGTTGAAAAGCTTGAGCCAAATACCGCGTTGGGTATGGGCGTACTACAAACTGCTATGATAAAAGTACATGCCCCCCAAAAACACCCCCCTCGCCTGTACAAAGAGAAGGAGTGAATTTGGAAGGGCGCATTGGCCATGTTGAAGTTGAAATGCAACAAACAAGACAAACAAAGCCGATTAGGCTACCAGGGTTCGCGACCCCACACCCGGGCTCGCATTGAAGCCCGGATCCCGCCACCACCCCGAATTACGGGTATGGGGCGGATTCTCGCCGGTAGCCAAATCAAACAAGAGAAAGCAACAAAAGAAAAGAACAAAGGATCAACTTCGGAATGGCCGGCATGAAGCCAAAGAATTGTCATTTGCATTGCAACCACATTGAACCATTTGATTCAAGCGGATTTAATTTTTAATTATTAGATTAGGCGCATTGGCCAGTCGGTTGAAACATGGTGCATAGACCAATGAGCCTTGGTTATAAATAAGCACCGTCTAGGCGCGCGGTCATTCGAGGACAATCGCCATGGATACCACCAGCAGCGATCCGCGGTCCAGGTCCGAGTAGGACATCACCGGCAGCGGTGCAGGGCGCCCGTGATCTTCACCTCGGCACCTTGATGAGCACCATCACCAGCAGCAGCAGCGGTGCAGGTGGATGCAGATCACCAGCGGCCATAGACGCCGCCGAGAGTGACTGCCTTGCTGCGGCGACGCACACCTGACAGGCAATCGCAGCTTGCGCGAATAGCGCACAGCTACGCATGCAGTTGAAGTCTGAAATGGCGAATAGCCCAGACAAAGAAATACTACAAGGAGCATAGTCCATCTTGTGAATTCCGGAATGAAAGCATGCGCGCGTTGGCGCAGCCATGCAAAACGCATGGACAGACTCCAGGTATTACCGATGTCGTCCACCGCCGTGCCGCCCCTTCCCCTTGCTGACATTCCAGTCCCCAGGGGGGGGAGGCACTGTCTCGGCCAGCTCGTCATCGTCACCCCAGGTAGGGGTATGCGGCGAGTTCGGATTTTCGAACTCGCGGGGATCACCCTGCATATGCGGCTGCCAACCCTGCGGCATTGCGCCAGGCCACATTTGTGGCATCATGCCAGCCATGGGCTGTTGCATGTATCCTCCCATTGGGAAAGCGGGATACATCGGACTCGGGAACGGGAAAGGGGCTGCCTGAGCACCCTTGTACCCCGACCCGCGAGCATCAGGCTGATGCCACGACCGAACTGCCCTTGTTGGTAGCCGTATTGGCCACCCTTGCCTTTGTACTGATCACCCTTGTGACCCTTTCCTGGAAACTGGTCACCCTTGTGACCTCCGCCCTTGGGCCAGGATTGCGCAGGGGCTTTGCCCTTTTGCTGATCTCCCTTTGACCTGGATTCAGGTCGCGGGGTAGCAGACCGTTGATCTCCCCTAGGAGTGGCTGCCCGCCTATGGTGCTTCCCAGCCGGCGGGTCAGCAAAAACAATGGCGCATTGGCCGTCGCGCCGTGCAGCGGGGACCATGTCAACCTTGTTGTCTTCGACATAAATGTATGCCTCAGCATACTCAATCGGGGCCGTGATGGATCCACCACTGGCCCGCAGAGAGTCGATACTCCAATCAAGAACAGTGGAGGCATCAAAACTTGGGTCCTCACTATTGAAGTCCGCGAGGCGTCGCTCAGCCTGTACCAATGACATTATGATGTCCGCGCGTGAGGCGCCTAGGCCATACAGCGGAACCAAATATCCGTCCTCAATCCCGATGCGGTAGGCATCGAAGATATGCACAGAGAGGTAAAGGGCAAATGCTGAATTTAGACTGCCCTTTCTCGTCATATGACGACCCCATTGCGCCGCCTGTTGCGGGTGCTCGATTAAATATGCCATGACAGACATATTGTCGGGAATCGAGACGCCAGTGCTGCTCTCCTCGATGAGCAGCTGCTTCGCTACCCACCGCTCGAGAGCCTCATCACTCGCCCGCACACAAGCGTGAGTGTCCTTTGAGGTGACCTTTGCAACCTCCTGAAACGCAACTTGCACAATATCCGCATTGGGAATGTGCACAAGATGCGGCGCGCAGCGCAAACCGGTGATCATGCAGCTGACCACCTCGCGAATCGGGTTTACCGATGCCATGAGAGGGGCCCACGCGTCGGTCTCCCCTTCATGCCAGCTGCTGGGGCGGACTGCTTTGAGTTCGCTCAGCCAGATTGGCTGTCCATGCTTAACCAGAGCGCGGACGGTGCCCGGCACCCATTCACGATAGAAAATCGGCAGATGGCAACCATTGCATAGAATGGTGCCATACATGTTCAAATGCGCGCACCGAGGGCACCAGTAGTCATGCATGGGAGCATTGTCCCATGAAAATGACACCCCTCTCCGCGGTCCCTGAACATTCAACTCACGGACCGCCCAGGGGCGGATGTATATTACATCCCCTTCCTGATGCAGATAACATGCGCGCCAGAATGGCGCATGTATCTCTTCCCGCACGGCGATCAAACCGCGTCGGGTTTTGTAGATGCCGGCGGCTTCCTCGATGGCCATCCACTTTAGGTCAACGGCCACAACGACATGGCGCTTGTCCATGTACTTGACGCGGTCGTCAACATAAAATTCGCCCTCATTATTGGGGCTGGGCAACTTGAGGAAAGACACCTTTGCGCCCTCCATCCCAATCATGATCTCCCCCCTGCAGACCTGCTCAGGTCGCATGGGGAAAACTGTGATGGCGAATTTGCCAGGCCTCCGGATGCACCTCGTTTTGAGGGCGGACCGATACTCAGCCATCGTCAGCAGCACGTATCCCGTATAAGGGACTTCTGCTGCTCCCATCGGCCTAAGCAAGGGCCCCATAGGCGTTCGGTCACGCAGTGCCCAACGCTTGAAAACTTTGAACGGCACGTCCCTCCCGATTAGGGTGGACCGCGCAAAAAACACCTCATTCGGGCGCACACTCGTGCCATCTGTCCTCCAGACTTTCCGTATTAGGAGCTCGACTGGAGGGTACGATGGGCTTTCCTTTGCGAGAGCACCCGCCCAGGTCGCTACCTCGACACTCGTGCACTTGTGGATCCCGTATAGGGCCTCAAGTAGCGTTGAGATCAGAGTCATTGACATCCAACCTCCCAGAATGTCTGGAACCGTCCCAAACAAGAAGGGAGGCTGCTCACCGGGCTTCACGTTTAACCGCGTAGGGTCAGTGTTGCCCGACAAAACTTCTAGCAGCATTTGCGATTCCCTGGAGCTTCGTCCAACAAACGCCGACACATCCCTAATTTCGGGGAAAAAATGGAAGATATCATTTCCGGCAGGACAGGCGATTCTGCCTGCTATCCCGCCCTGTGCATCAATCACAACCTCTTCACCCTCGTATGTGAGGTTGTAGGCGCTCGTAATCGGACACACACCGGGCTTAGCCATCAGTGCCTCTTCCAACGACGCACCTGTTGGGAGGACGCCCTGTACGTGCGACTTGGTACCTATGGGACCAGTACTCGCAGACATAAGCCGATAATTTTCGGCACGAAAGAATGGAAAAAGATTCTTCATCCTTTCAATTTCTTCTTCAGTGGTGCGCCACGCCTTTGCCTCATAGTAAGGCGGCTCCTGCTTTGAGGGCACTAGGTCGCGGTCACCCATTGATGAGAATTTGTCCACATATGGACCCATTCCCTCATCGTCCACATAACTCTCGTGATCTTCATCCGAGACGTACTCCTTGGGCGGCTCGCCCAGAGCGTCCAGATCGACCTTACCAAGGTCGACCAACGCCGGAGAATCCAGGACTCTCTGGATCCTCATGAGCTCGTTCCTAAACTGCTCAAAGCCTCCGGCCCGGCATGGCGCCCTCCCATGATTCTGGGAACATGCACACGTTCGTAGGGGAAAACTCGTCATCGGAAATATCCCGATCACGCTCCCGTACGTCGCTGATTAGTGTCACATCCAACGAGCCGCTTAGGGCCTCGGGACGCGACGCTTTCGCCGGATGCGGCTTTGCGCTCTTTGACGCTACAGCAGCCTCATTGGCCGCTTTGTCCTTCTTCTCGTCACCCTTACTCCCCTCCTTGTCCACATCCATTTCGGACGGCTGTGCGCTCCCCCCTGCTCCGCCCATTGGCGGTTCAGAGGATTGAGCAGGGGATTCCTTTGTACGGGCTTTGCCGTAATAATGTCCTGGGATCTGCACGTTCCCAGAGGAGCCACCGCCAGCCTCTCTCGGACGCTTGGCGGTGTGAGCCGACCCAGTATGTACAGCAGGAGCCGATCGCCTAGGAGGGCCCTTACTTGCCGACAGAGATGGAGGGGGTGGCTTCATCTTGGGAGCCGGCCCCGCCTTGGGCGCCGTCTCCGGCTCAATCACGCAGGACCTGAGGTCGAAACTTTCGACCTCAAAAGGCCCGCGCAATAGGAACGGAATACGTCCTCAACTTCCCGAGCAAGAAACTCGGGATGGTCATCCTCCCTCGGAGGTGTTCTCCAGCCGTCGTATCCATTGAGCAGATTCCTGCCCACGATATCATTGAATCGATACGTGCCTAAACCGCTCAGCGGTTGGCAGCCCGAAGAACATTACAAAATCTTTCGACCTTTTCTGTCGCCGCAATGGCGGCAGCC